AGGGCAATGTCTCGCACGTGTAATGAGTTGACATGGTTGCAACACTTTCTTAAGGAAATTAGGTTTCCAATCAAGACACCAATTGAGTTGTTTTTGCGATAATCAAGTTGCAGTTCATATTGCTTCTAATCATGTGTTTCATGAGTGAATGAAATACATTGAAGTTGATTGTCATTTTATTCGAAAGAAAGTGTTGGGTGGAGACATTGTCACACCCTTTGTCAAATCTAAAAATCAACTTGTTGATATATTTACTAAGTCATTGAGTAGCTCTCGGTTGAGAGATATTTAATTCTAGCTGGAATCATATGATATATACTCACTGGCTTGAGGGAAAGTGTTAGAATATGGAGTGGCTTCTATGTAATAAACATATCCCAAGAGGGGTTATTAGTCTTTAGTTTTATTCACATACATATATATAGGGTGAAAGGGAAGGTAGGCCAACTTTTGACACTTNAATTCTTAAATTTTTTATTTTTTTCATTATGTTTCCGAAACGGGTTGAAACGTTTTTGAAACATGTCAAAACGTTTTCGAAACACGTCAAAACGTTTCCGTTTCCTAGGTGATCAAAACAATACACCAAAACGATATTTTGATCCTTGATGAGAAGTTACCTCCTTTACTCTTATAATCGAGCTCTTGTTATCGTTGGAGCCCCTATGGCTACTTTTCGAACTGGGTGACAGGGAAGGTGGAATCTCTTCCTCGAATAANTACCTCCTTTACTCTTATAATCGAGCTCTTGTTATCGTTGGAGCCCCTATGGCTACTTTTCGAACTGGGTGACAGGGAAGGTGGAATCTCTTCCTCGAATAACTCAGTCGGTTTGAGCTATCCTCACAGGATTTGAGTGAGCAATACTAACGAGTAGTTTGGATGCTCTTCCAGATCCTGCTCACATGTAGGTCGCGTGGTTTCTTCAGACAAGTGCCTAATCATAGCACTTGCTTTCTCTATGTCAAATCTATCTCTAGCAATTATTGTTACTCGTGCTCTCCCTTTTTCGTATGCATGTTCCTAATCATTTCTGGAGTGATGCTATATTGATTGCGTGTTATCTTATTAACCGTGTGCCCTTTACGGTTTTACATGGATCTTCTCCCCATTTTGTATTGTTTCCTCGGCCTCTGGTGTTTTCTCTTCCTCCCAAAGTGTTTGGTTGTGTGTGTTATATCCACAATCTTGGTCTGGGTTTTGGTAAACTTGATCCCCGCACTACCAAGTGTATTTTCTTTAGTTACTCTCGCACCCAAAAAGTTTATTGTTGTTATAGTCTTTTTGGCTGATTTTTGATGTTACCTTCTTAGAGTCTACCCCTTATTTCTTTGCTCTACCTGTTCCCCATACTTGTGTCCCTAAGTCATTCCTCTTATCAATCTTACTTCCTCTGCCCGTTTGTGTTCCACTTTCCTCAACTCCTGAGTCACCTCCTATTTTAGTGTCTCCTCCTGTACCTTCCACCACGCCCTTACAAATTTATTCTCGTCGATTGAGGCCGTCTTCTCCAGATTTTGTTTCACCACCACTTCCTCGTTGTCTTCGGATTTGGCTACTTTAGTTTTCTCCGACACTTTACTGATTACTCTTTATAAAAGTATTCGTTCTTGCGTTACTAACCATCCTACTAGTAACTTTATTTTCTCTCGTTTATTATCTCCTTTATTTTCTTGTTTTACTATCCAGCTATCTACTATGTATGTTCATAAGACTATTTCAGCTGCATTATCTGATCCACGTTGGCGGCAAGCTATGGAAAAAGAGATGCACGCTTGGATCTTATTTCGTTGCCTCCTGTTAAGCAGATTGTTGGATATCAATGGGAATACACCATTGCTTGTCACTTCTTTTTGAATTCTTCCAATAATTGTATTCACACTTTTGATGTGCTCTGTTTCCCAAACATAGGAAGTGTGTATAGTGTAGAAACTTGGAAATACCGAGGTCGTCTCCTCAGGGACAAATGGTAATTTGAATAGTGAATGTGTTTGCATGGTGAAGTAAATATCTTTTGGTTTTGTGGAAAATGATAAAAGTAGTAACTAATGTAGTAAATTCAAATGGAAGACAATAGGCCAATTCTCATGAATCATCTCATCATAATCAAGTTTATCAATTCTCTTTTTACAACTCATCAAAACTTATAATCAAATTCATTCGGACGAAAAATATTAAGCAAAATCCAGTTTTGAAACATATGTTGCTTTGAAGATAGGTAATAGAATTTAGAGTGATAAATACATAGATGTATACGTATACTTTAAGCATTATTCGTACCCGAAATCCGTTGATGAGAAATTATCATAAATCCTAGTTTTCTAATTTTACCATCTATAAAGTACACTACATGGTTAGAACATATCAAAGAATCAATATTGCTTAATCACAAATGAGAATCATCCCTCGAATCGCGTTGAAACTTAGCTAGAACCAAAACCAATTGAACCAAAATCAGCGATAAACATGTAAAACCAAAGGAAATAAACAAGAAGATTGAAAGTACTAATCTCAACTAGATTGCTTCAACATGCAATACTACCAACACAAAAGAAACTTGGAAAATACACCCTTCGGTTGCCTTCTTTGAAGCTTGGCTATCATAAAACCAAAGGTAAAACTCTAAACTACAAACTAAGCTAAGCAAAAAGACTTCCTTGTATGTAGAAATGTAGGTATATATAGCATTCCTTCCTCCTTCATTATTGGCCAAGGAATGTGGTGCTAGTGGTGGGTGCGTGCCGAAGAAGTTTCCTCTGCCAAGATCGTCCAATCGGGTTCCTCTTGTGAAGCTTTGGACAAATTCATCTAACAAAAAATAGGACCTTAGAGATAGGTAGCCTCTCCTTGAGTGTGGAAGTGAATAAGAGTGATCTCATGGCCGGATGAGAGCTCGGGACTTGTGCACCGTATATGCGTGTATATAAACTGGTACAAAGGAACCAGTACATTGACTTCCAACAACCTGATGAACTTCTGATTAATTTCTGTAACCTAATGAACCAGTACGAAGGAGGATGAACCGGTATGAGCCACTTTTGCAGCCTGATGTACGAGTACAAGTTGTACCGGTACATCAGGGTCCTCTTGATTTTCCTACTTTGCTCTTCCAATTTCACTTCCTTCACATTGATTTGCCTTCCCATGATACTTCAATTGAATTCCCTTCATTTACTCTCCTCTCCTTTACACCTACAAATAAAAATTCCTACCATTAATCAAATTTCATCATAATTCGGCTATTTAAACAACAAATCGGTACATAAAATGAATGGATTAAATCCTGCAAGATGCAATATTGAGTGTATTGCAACCATTAAATTTCATCTGGATGGTTCTGTGAATCACTTCAAAGCTTGTTTAGTTGCTAAAGGCTACACTCAAACCTATTGACTATGTTGAGTCTTTTCCTCCTATGGCTAAGATATCTTCTGTGCAGGTTTTGATATCTCTTGCTGCTAATCCTGATTGACCATTATTTCAATTAGATGTGAAAAATGTTTTCTTACGTGGTGATTTAGCGGAAGAGGTCTATATGGAACAACTACCTAGGTTTGTTGCTTAGGGGGAGTATTAGGGGAGTGTGTTTAAGTTATAGAAAGCACTGTATGGACTGAAACAATCTCCACGAGCATTGTTTGGGAAGTTCTCTGATACGGTGTTGGATTTTGGTCTCCATAGAAGTCAGAGAAATCGTTCAGTATTTTATTTACATATTAATGTAAGTAATATTCGCATTATTGTTTATGTTGATGATATTGTGATTACCGGTGATGACAATGTTGGTATTGCCAAGTTGAAACAATTTCTATAGCATCGATTTCACAACTAAGATTTATGTAAACTTCGTTATTTCCTTGGTGTTGAAGTTGCTAGATCGAAATAGGGCATCAACTTGTATCAAAGAAAATATGTGCTTCACTTTTTAGAGGAAACAAGTTTTCAAGGTGATCGACCAATTGATGTTCATATGTATACTAACCATAAACTCTAGTGGATGAAGGTGAATGTTTCTCAGATTTTTGGACGGTATTGTCGGTTAGTGGGAAGTTAAATTATCTCCATATTATCCGATCAGATATATCTTATGCATTGAGTGTAGTAAGTCAATTTATAGAAGCTCCTCGAGTATTACGTTGGGATACTGTTATTCATATTATCAAATATCTCAAGCAAGCTTCCGGACTTGAATTGTTGTATAAATCTAATGGGCATTTTAGATTGAAAGGGTTGAAAAATGCTGATTGGGTAGAATCCTCCTCTGATAAACAATCTATTGTATCTTTTTGGGAGATAATTTAGTCATGTGGAAGGGTAAGAAACAGATGGTGGTGGTACGGTCTAGTGCAAAAGCTGAGTACAGGGCAATGTCTCGCACGTGTAATGAGTTGACATGGTTGCAACACTTTCTTAAGGAAATTAGGTTTCCAATCGAGACACCAATTGAGTTGTTTTTGCGATAATCAAGTTGCAGTTCATATTGCTTCTAATCATGTGTTTCATGAGTGAATGAAATACATTGAAGTTGATTGTCATTTTATTCGAAAGAAAGTGTTGGGTGGAGACATTGCCACACCCTTTGTCAAATCTAAAAATCAACTTGTTGATATATTTACTAAGTCATTGAGTAGCTCTCGGTTGAGAGATATTTAATCCTAGCTGGAATTATATGATATATACTCACTGGCTTGAGGGAAAGTGTTAGAATATGGAGTGGCTTCTATGTAATAAACATATCCCAAGAGGGGTTATTAGTCTTTAGTTTTATTCACATACATATATATAGGGTGAAAGGGAAGGTAGGCCAACTTTTGACACTTTCTCTCTCTCTCTCTCTCTCTCTCTCAACATTAACACTAGAAAATGATCAAACTTCAAACAAAACTCAAATAGCTTAGTGTTACTGAAAATATGATACATGAACTATGGATGTGGCCCATGTCTGACAATTTATCAGAAAGATCCAAATACTTTGGGGAACTTCTAACCTTATAACAAACATGAAACTATACTCCGTGCGACCCAAGACTTGGTTAGACAAGGCCCTAATTTAGTTCCTTGCAGAATACAAACTTTTTTCTTTTTTCTAATTGTCCATATGTTGGGCATCACCTTTATTTTGATGCTTGAGTATTGGACTCTCCATTTATTGGCAGTTTTACAGAAGGTACTCTGTAATCTGCTGTTTACTTTCTGTGTTAACAGCAGTGAGGACAAGGTTGTCCACAAAGCTCCTGTTATTTGGTTGTCCACAAAGCAGTGGCTTATACTTTCTTCAAACTAAGTTGAAAGAGACTTTGGTGTATCTGCGGAGAATTTTATCTTGAGTTCAACTCCATCTTAAAATTTCTGTTTCTGACAGTAATTATGTGCACACTGTTACAAGATTTTGTGTGGAGTGAAAATTTTTGCATTCTTTACTAATGCAACCTTTTTTTCGGTAATCTTTGATCTAGATCGGACTTGTAGTTGTCATGGTTAGTTTTTGGTTTGTGAATTGACCAGTTCAAATGCTAAGGACATCATTTTCTGTAGCAAGAGATATTCTGATTTTTTGCTATATTGTGCTGTCTGACATGTGAATAGGACGTTTTGGGCTTTTGAAACTTATCACCAACTTACATTTTGTTTTAATATTGCTACAGAAGACACCTTAGATCAGTGCTTAAATATCTTGATGATTAATCAATTCTAAGAACAAATAAGCTCTATTGAGTACCTTTTTGGTTTTTTTCCCCCTATTTTGCTCAATGGGAGAATTGTTTATTTTCTTCCATTTCCATTAGCACTCCTCAAAATTTGGAAACTTGCTGTTTGCGTCATGTTCAACAGAGACTCTATTCCACGAGATCTGTATATCTAGGAATTTATGATCAGATGCTATGTTTTGCAATTAACTTACGGTAATTTCATCGTGATTGATTTCTAGTGGTGGTACAGTTGCTGGTTTGTCGCTCGGATCATGCCTGAGTGAATTAAAAGCGAAAGTACACTTTCTTTTCTGATCTCTCCTCATCCGTTCTCTTCATAATGAAAATTAGTGACATCTTTTTATTGTCTAAGTTGTCTTCTTTGTTGTAGGTTCATGCGTTCTGTGTATGTGCTGATCCTAATTTTTTGTATGACTATGTTCAATGCCTACTTGATGAACTCCAAGCAGGTGTTAACTCACGCGATATAGTTAACATTCAAAATGTGAGCACTTAATTCAATTCAGCAAGATCATTTTGGTGAAAAGCACCTGTTCTTTCATTCCATAGCTTGTAATTGCTTGCTGCTTTATACTGAAAAGATAATACATTATATACTCGTGTATTGTGGCTACCCGTATGTTTATTTTCAGAAAAAATGTCATGTATACCTGTATTCCTTTTTCACATGGTTATTTTACGTTTTGCCGTCGTGTTTGTCAAGGCCTATATTGTTTCCACATATTTAAACAATATTTTTAGTATGGTGAGTGCTGCAATGATGAATTGGGTGTTGGGTGGGAGGGGGAGGGGGACTAGGGGTGCTACTGCTTCCCACAATTTTGATTTCCCCCTTTTTGCACTAGTATCTGCTATGAATATTCCAAATATATATGCCCGCCCCCATCATATTTCCAAACACTTAAGAGGCCGTCCTTTCTGTAAATTATTATTCCCTCTTGGCTAGAATCCTAGCTTAGTCCCTAGAACACTTGGGCTTATGCTGAGGTTTTTCTTAATAAACTGATGAAGTAACAGGAAATATTAGAACATAATAATTAATAAATGTATGACATTTTTTCTGTAGTTTGTTATAGATCTTTTTTCCTCTTAATTTATTAAGTACTCAAAGACATTGAACTTGGGGATGCTATTGATTAGTTGATTTAATATCAGACATATTATTTTCTCTGTCTCTTACAGGCCATAGGTCTTGGCTATGCTAGGAATACCACTGAGGAGCTTAAATTTATCAAAGAAGTTGCTGAAGCTACTGGTGTTATTTTGGACCATGTTTACAGGTTTGAGCTGTTAACTTTGTAGTCAACACCTTCTGAAGTTGGTTCATTTCTGTCCACTGGTGTGGAAATTTCCAAATCATATCTTTGGTTTGGAGAATTGTTAAATGGATTATGACCTCATTTGGCTTTAATACATTACTCATTTACATGTTTGACTTTCATCTTGTCACATTAAAATGTATTGACCATATGGTACTGTCACATACAACATGTCTCGTACAAGGATCAAAATTTTATTTCAATGCATTGTTTCGGTCATTTCGAAAACAGAAATGTTTCGAAAAAATGATTTGTTGAAATATAAATATTTAAGTTATACCATCTCCATCAGCTTGCGCTTTTAGAATAGATGGTTGTTTTACATAGTATCAAAGTAGGAGTTCTCATGTTCAAATCTCGCCACTAGCCTGCACGTAAGGGTGCGTGTTGAAGTGTAAATACTTAAGCTACACCCTCTCCAATAGTTTAAGTTTTTGGAGCAGATGGTTATTAATAGGATAAAAATAAAGAAAAAAATCTAGACACGTATGGAAACATATGGACGCATATGTTATGTAAATTTGTATAGATAAGTTTAAAAATTGATTAGTTGAACATGTTTATTATCGATGACACCAATTTGGAGAATAAAAGTTTGTATGAGGCAAAAGTCGTTCTAAATAATGTCAAACACTTCATTTCCATGAAAAAAAAATTGAAATCCTACAATACTAACAAAGTTACATGATTGTGGTTAGGTCATTTAATAACTAAATCAAGTAATAGGGTTACTTGAAGATTTTTAATAAATATGGGCAGTGGGCTAATATGGGATCTTGCAAAGAATAAAAAATTAACAATAGATTCTGTAAAAATTAAAAAAGAAAAAAGAAAAAATAGATAGATGTTTGTCCTCTGGTCTAGAGAGAGAGAGAGACAGTGGGAAAAAGATGGAATTACAAAAGCGACTGGGAAAGCCGACTCAAATATCAGCAGTTCGAAGAGGAGGAGGGGGGGGGAGAGAGTGTATTATAGAGAGATCAGGTCTGTAGGACTTTAGAAGAAAAGGAAGAGATCAGAAGAAGAACATACCTGCTCGAATCTGGTTGTGTGGTTGTGCCTTTGTCTGTGGGTGCTCGGTGGGTTGCCTCTGCTCACAACTCTGGTACCATATCTCTCCTCCTCTTGGTTCACTGTGTTAACTTCCCTTATCTCTCTCTTATTTCTTTGGCCATTTTCTTCTGTTGCAGCCGAAAATTATTAGTCCCGGCCCCGACATCAACAATAACATGATAAAAAAATTGTAATATTTACAAAAGGACTACCTCTATCTAAGTTCACAAATCCAATTCTACATCAATCCAAATCGTAGTTAAGGGTTATGACCAAACAGAGCATCAAATATCCAAACTCGGAACCACAGGATGAAAATTCAGAATTCTAGAACATTCAAACTATAAATTGTTGTCCAAGGTCAAATTGGTCCAAACAGTCAGAGGCATTATTGCCAAATTCAAGTTTGGATGAAACTAATCTGATGTTGCTCATTATCTGAATCAATACAAAGCCTTATGCACAAACAATGATAGGAGTTTGAGTGCAATATTGGAGAAGCTAGAAGCCACGGTTCAAAGTATCGGCTGAGTACGATATGACTCGGTAGTCGCCTCCGCCACCATCGATACGATATGGATACACGTTATGGAAAAACACGGTTTATGTTTGAATTGGTTCCGAATGGCTCAACTTTGTTCAACTCGGTATCATCTTGTTCGAGTCGGCCGATTCACATCCAAGTCAAACCAATTCACACAAAATTGTACAACCACACCCAAGACAACAGAGAAAATGCTGGAAAAAAGGAGCAAAAGAGATAAAGTAGAAGACCAAGAAACAGATTGATAAACAAAGAAATCCAAATCAAACATTTTTTGCAAAAATTAGCAACACAAACCAGTAATTCTCCGAATAATCGCCTTTATCACAAAGCTCCCATCGTGGATCTCTAGATTGCGGGCGGCGATGATCAATTTGATCTCTCTATCTCTTTCTTGCCCGGGCTCTCTTTCCCTCTCTCCAGTTGTCACACTGTCTCTCTCTCTTTCTGTTCATCTGATTGTCTCCCCTTCCCAGGCCTCTCGATTTCGAGTAATGTTACACTGATCAAATTTTAGGATTAAATTTGAAGCTCAAATGACATGGCAGTTGATTATTTAAAATTTTTATTGAGGCCCAAATAACATGACACCAATCAAAGAAGCCCAAGTCAATCGCCATGTCATTTGGACTCTAAATTTGATCCCAAAATTTAGTCAGTCTAGCATTAGTGCTCAATTTCTATCTCATAAGTCTCAAACCGATACGAGACTCAATTTATCTAATCAAAGCCAAATATTTTCTTTTATTTTTTCGGTCTTCACACTCTTTAGTTTTATTTTATGTTTTGTTCTAATTTTTATTTTTCTCTTATTTGCTTTATAATTTAATTAGGACTTAAACTATTAAATTAATACATAATGGACAAAATATTGTAGTATTTAGAATATTAGATCTACATCAAATAGACAAAATGTTTTTGTATTTTTCATAAAATTTTGAAACTATATCAGATATATTTATATTCACATCAATATGATATTTATATTTAGTAGTATTGGGATCTATAAATTGTAAAAATTTACAATTTGTAGATACATACTTTTTGTTGTTATTTTTATTTTAAACCACATACTAATAATTATAGTATGGCTCAGTTTGGTCTTAAATGTTTATATTGAACACAAGTGATAATAAATATTTTCGGTAGCGCTCTTATAATTCTATTTTACTATGCTTAATCTGTTAAGTAATGCATTTTGTCGATATGCATGGATAATACTGTATGTGTTTTAGAATTTTTCATGATTTTTAAAAAAAAATTTGGGTTTTTAATCTAGCAATTTGAGCGTATTGGCCGATACCGCGCCGGGACACCAAGACCAATTTGTCTCGGTGCCTTTCAAGTCGATGACCGATACCGCAACCATGAACCATGCTAGAAATTGATTTTTATTATGCTAGTCGTGCGGTGTTGTGAATTATTGGGGTCTCAATAAATGTGGAGTTTTTGACACTGAATTCAGTATCTAGAGTCTGGATGATACTGTTTTGCATGGATCTTCGTCTGGGTTGAGAAAACTTTCAACCTAAGATCTGGAGGGATGCATGTGTTTGCAATACATCACTCTAGGAAATTGCAGATTTATGTCAGTCATTTTTCTGAAGATCCTAAGCTAATTCTTATGTAGACTGCCCTGGCTAAAGTAGTGTTAGATAGAGAGAGAGAGAGAGAGAGAGAGAGAGAGAGAAACATGCTTTAAAATCTTGTGTTACAAGTTTGAAGGAAAAATTCTGAAGTTACAAATCTTACCCAGTTGGTAAATGCATGCACAGGGAATTAATCAATCTCAATCCAGACACCGAGCACATTCTTTTACTCGGTTGCTTTTTTTCAGTAAATGAAGTGAGCAACCTGTGTAATCAACGACTTTACTGACAAGAATTCGACATGTGCATTGATCCTTTCTTTATAGCATCTCGAGTTGGTCTTTTGCTAGTCATAGGCCACTATTGTGTCTTCCCTAGATCAAGAAGTTCAGCAATTGTTATCCATGCCACTATATTCTATTTCTTCAAGAATATTTTTTTGACACTTAGTTTTGTTTTGACATTCTTTACAGTGGAAAAGCAGCCTATGTAATGATGAAAGACATGGCCGAGAATCCATCAAAGTGGGAAGGAAAAAAGATCCTCTTCATACACACCGGTGGACTACTAGGTCTGTTTGACAAGGCTGAGCAGATGGCCTCAATGGTGGGAAATTGGCGTAAAATGGATATCCATAAATAAAAACTACTTTATAAAAAGTTTGTTTGGATGTTCAAATAAATCTTTTTTATTTGTGTCACAATTACTGATGTGTCTCCAAATACTGATATATATGTATATGTATACATATTTCGGTGGTGGTGGTGATTTATCTGTGTCAAAATTGCTGATGTGTCTCCAAATACTGATATATATATATATGCATATGTATACATAGTGATAGTAGTGGGGAGGACGTGTGGTGGCACCAGCAGCAACTACAATGATGGTGATAGGCTGCTGCTGGCTGTGGCGGCGGCGGCAGTGATCACAACTACGATGGTGGTGATAGGAGGGTGATGGACGTAAAAAATGAGAAAGGCTTTGTGCAGTATTTTTAAGAAAGCACCTTTTTATTTTTTGTTTGTTTTCTACTTGTGAGCTTAGTTAAACTACCTATTCAAAAGTATTCTAAATAAGTTCTAAATAATATATTTTTTGAATTTGACGTGATTATGGTAAATCACCAGTCCAATTTTAAGACATCCTAAACACCACTGTAGAGTATGACTATCTAACGCAATTGCGAATTGCGATTGCAGTCAAGGGTAGAAGTGTTATGCACAAACATTCCTTAACAAACCCCCCCCCCCCCCAAAAAAAAAAAAAAAAACATACACACACAAAAGAAAAAGCACTAGGACAAGAAAAGAAGGTTAAGCCAGCACGTACCTCTTGAGATTTTAATTTTGACAAGTTAAACCTAAAGTGTTAAATGGTCAAATTGATACAGTAAAAAAAAAAATTGCATCATTATACTTGATCATTCAAATTACTTCTTCTCTACAAGAAAGACCCATTGTCACCATCTCTCTCTCTGCCTCTCCCGGGTAATTGCCTCTACCACCCACATGCTAGTCACCACTTTATGACAAATGAGTTTCATGAATGGATCAAGCATTTACAACATTAACTATCGTTTTTTATTTGAAGTAACATGTATACTAGAAAGTGGGAAAAAACACCTATGTAACATCAGCCATGCTGGTGGCAGGGGGTGTAGATGGATTGATAAATGCTTGACCACGGTGGCATGATGAGAATAATGGCAGGGTTGTGATGTCGTTGTTTGTTGTGGGTTTGGATGGGATTTTTGATGGTCGGATAAGGGTGGTGAGGCATGTAGGTGCTACAAGAAGGGTGGTTCGACCACGTTAGATGCAGGGTGTGTGCAAACAATCGTAGTGGTGCGACAATGACAGCGAGTTCGCATGTGGTGTGGCTACTAGTTATGAAGGGTTACCAGGTGTGGGAGGTTGTTGGCATGGGAGGAGTTCTGTGGTGTGGGCTGCTGGTTGTGGTGGTCGGTTGAAAAGAAAATGTTTTATTCTCCGTTTAGTGTGATGGAGAAATGGAAAGACGAAAANTTAAGTTATACCATCTCCATCAGCTTGCGCTTTTAGAATAGATGGTTGTTTTACATAGTATCAAAGTAGGAGTTCTCATGTTCAAATCTCGCCACTAGCCTGCACGTAAGGGTGCGTGTTGAAGTGTAAATACTTAAGCTACACCCTCTCCAATAGTTTAAGTTTTTGGAGCAGATGGTTATTAATAGGATAAAAATAAAGAAAAAAATCTAGACACGTATGGAAACATATGGACGCATATGTTATGTAAATTTGTATAGATAAGTTTAAAAATTGATTAGTTGAACATGTTTATTATCGATGACACCAATTTGGAGAATAAAAGTTTGTATGAGGCAAAAGTCGTTCTAAATAATGTCAAACACTTCATTTCCATGAAAAAAAAATTGAAATCCTACAATACTAACAAAGTTACATGATTGTGGTTAGGTCATTTAATAACTAAATCAAGTAATAGGGTTACTTGAAGATTTTTAATAAATATGGGCAGTGGGCTAATATGGGATCTTGCAAAGAATAAAAAATTAACAATAGATTCTGTAAAAATTAAAAAAGAAAAAAGAAAAAATAGATAGATGTTTGTCCTCTGGTCTAGAGAGAGAGAGAGACAGTGGGAAAAAGATGGAATTACAAAAGCGACTGGGAAAGCCGACTCAAATATCAGCAGTTCGAAGAGGAGGAGGGGGGGGGAGAGAGTGTATTATAGAGAGATCAGGTCTGTAGGACTTTAGAAGAAAAGGAAGAGATCAGAAGAAGAACATACCTGCTCGAATCTGGTTGTGTGGTTGTGCCTTTGTCTGTGGGTGCTCGGTGGGTTGCCTCTGCTCACAACTCTGGTACCGTATCTCTCCTCCTCTTGGTTCACTGTGTTAACTTCCCTTATCTCTCTCTTATTTCTTTGGCCATTTTCTTCTGTTGCAGCCGAAAATTATTAGTCCCGGCCCCGACATCAACAATAACATGATAAAAAAATTGTAATATTTACAAAAGGACTACCTCTATCTAAGTTCACAAATCCAATTCTACATCAATCCAAATCGTAGTTAAGGGTTATGACCAAACAGAGCATCAAATATCCAAACTCAGAACCACAGGATGAAAATTCAGAATTCTAGAACATTCAAACTATAAATTGTTGTCCAAGGTCAAATTGGTCCAAACAGTCAGAGGCATTATTGCCAAATTCAAGTTTGGATGAAACTAATCTGATGTTGCTCATTATCTGAATCAATACAAAGCCTTATGCACAAACAATGATAGGAGTTTGAGTGCAATATTGGAGAAGCTAGAAGCCACGGTTCAAAGTATCGGCTGAGTACGATATGACTCGGTAGTCGCCTCCGCCACCATCGATACGATATGGATACACGTTATGGAAAAACACGGTTTATGTTTGAATTGGTTCCGAATGGCTCAACTTTGTTCAACTCGGTATCATCTTGTTCGAGTCGGCCGATTCACATCCAAGTCAAACCAATTCACACAAAATTGTACAACCACACCCAAGACAACAGAGAAAATGCTGGAAAAAAGGAGCAAAAGAGATAAAGTAGAAGACCAAGAAACAGATTGATAAACAAAGAAATCCAAATCAAACATTTTTTGCAAAAATTAGCAACACAAACCAGTAATTCTCCGAATAATCGCCTTTATCACAAAGCTCCCATCGTGGATCTCTAGATTGCGGGCGGCGATGATCAATTTGATCTCTCTATCTCTTTCTTGCCCGGGCTCTCTTTCCCTCTCTCCAGTTGTCACACTGTCTCTCTCTCTTTCTGTTCATCTGATTGTCTCCCCTTCCCAGGCCTCTCGATTTCGAGTAATGTTACACTGATCAAATTTTAGGATTAAATTTGAAGCTCAAATGACATGGCAGTTGATTATTTAAAATTTTTATTGAGGCCCAAATAACATGACACCAATCAAAGAAGCCCAAGTCAATCGCCATGTCATTTGGACTCTAAATTTGATCCCAAAATTTAGTCAGTCTAGCATTAGTGCTCAATTTCTATCTCATAAGTCTCAAACCGATACGAGACTCAATTTATCTAATCAAAGCCAAATATTTTCTTTTATTTTTTCGGTCTTCACACTCTTTAGTTTTATTTTATGTTTTGTTCTAATTTTTATTTTTCTCTTATTTGCTTTATAATTTAATTAGGACTTAAACTATTAAATTAATACATAATGGACAAAATATTGTAGTATTTAGAATATTAGATCTACATCAAATAGACAAAATGTTTTTGTATTTTTCATAAAATTTTGAAACTATATCAGATATATTTATATTCACATCAATATGATATTTATATTTAGTAGTATTGGGATCTATAAATTGTAAAAATTTACAATTTGTAGATACATACTTTTTGTTGTTATTTTTATTTTAAACCACATACTAATAATTATAGTATGGCTCAGTTTGGTCTTAAATGTTTATATTGAACACAAGTGATAATAAATATTTTCGGTAGCGCTCTTATAATTCTATTTTACTATGCTTAATCTGTTAAGTAATGCATTTTGTCGATATGCATGGATAATACTGTATGTGTTTTAGAATTTTTCATGATTTTTAAAAAAAAATTTGGGTTTTTAATCTAGCAATTTGAGCGTATTGGCCGATACCGCGCCGGGACACCAAGACCAATTTGTCTCGGTGCCTTTCAAGTCGATGACCGATACCGCAACCATGAACCATGCTAGAAATTGATTTTTATTATGCTAGTCGTGCGGTGTTGTGAATTATTGGGGTCTCAATAAATGTGGAGTTTTTGACACTGAATTCAGTATCTAGAGTCTGGATGATACTGTTTTGCATGGATCTTCGTCTGGGTTGAGAAAACTTTCAACCTAAGATCTGGAGGGATGCATGTGTTTGCAATACATCACTCTAGGAAATTGCAGATTTATGTCAGTCATTTTTCTGAAGATCCTAAGCTAATTCTTATGTAGACTGCCCTGGCTAAAGTAGTGTTAGATAGAGAGAGAGAGAGAGAGAGAGAGAGAGAGAGAAACATGCTTTAAAATCTTGTGTTACAAGTTTGAAGGAAAAATTCTGAAGTTACAAATCTTACCCAGTTGGTAAATGCATGCACAGGGAATTAATCAATCTCAATCCAGACACCGAGCACATTCTTTTACTCGGTTTCTTTTTTTCAGTAAATGAAGTGAGCAACCTGTGTAATCAACGACTTTACTGACAAGAATTCGACATGTGCATTGATCCTTTCTTTATAGCATCTCGAGTTGGTCTTTTGCTAGTCATAGGCCACTATTGTGTCTTCCCTAGATCAAGAAGTTCAGCAATTGTTATCCATGCCACTATATTCTATTTCTTCAAGAATATTTTTTTGACACTTAGTTTTGTTTTGACATTCTTTACAGTGGAAAAGCAGCCTATGTAATGATGAAAGACATGGCCGAGAATCCATCAAAGTGGGAAGGAAGAAAGATCCTCTTCATACACACCGGTGGACTACTAGGTCTGTTTGACAAGGCTGAGCAGATGGCCTCAATGGTGGGAAATTGGCGTAAAATGGATATCCATAAATAAAAACTACTTTATAAAAAGTTTGTTTGGATGTTCAAATAAATCTTTTTTATTTGTGTCACAATTACTGATGTGTCTCCAAATACTGATATATATGTATATGTATACATATTTCGGTGGTGGTGGTGATTTATCTGTGTCAAAATTGCTGATGTGTCTCCAAATACTGATATATATATATATGCATATGTATACATAGTGATAGTAGTGGGGAGG